TTTTGGTGGTATTTGATCATCACTTTTTTTTTTTTGCAATCTAAACAAAAAAAGACCGAAAATTTTGAAGAAAAAAAAAAAAAACATTTTATATTTTGCTATAAAACATATCCAGGGATGTGGAAATTTAAAAAACTACTTGTCTGGGGACTAAATCAGAGTCCCAATAGAAATATAAAGACAAACCCCAGTACACAGGACCACCCCTTAAAAAAAACAATTAATAACAAGGATGTGAATTGCTGCTGCACACAGCTGTGTGAAGCTGTGTAGCAGTGAAGAGGTTAAGAGTAATGGGCTAGGTCTGGCGTGTGAAGCGGTGTAGCAGTGAAGGGGTTAAGAGCAGTGGGCTAGGTCTGGCGTGTGAAGCTGTGTATCAGTAAAGGGGTTAAGAGCAGTGGGCTAGGTCTGGCATGTGAAGCTATGTATCAGTGAAGGGGTTAAGAGCAGTGGGCTAGGTCTGGCGTGTGAAGCGGTGTAGCAGTGAGGGGGTTAAGAGCAGTGGGCTAGTCTGGCGTGTGTGAAGCAGGGAAGGGGTTAAGAGTAGTGGGCTAGGTCTGGCGTGTGAAGCAGTGAAGGGGTTAAGAGTAGTGGGCTAGGTATGGCGTTGAAGCTGTGTATCAGTAAAGGGGTTAAGAGCAGTGGGCTAGGTCTGGCATGTGAAGCTATGTATCAGTGAAGGGGTTAAGAGCAGTGGGCTAGGTCTGGCGTGTGAAGCGGTGTAGCAGTGAAGGGGTTAAGAGCAGTGGGCTAGGTCTGGCGTGTGAAGCAGGGAAGGGTTAAGAGTAGTGGGCTAGGTCTGGCGTGTGAAGCAGTGAAGGGGTTAAGAGTAGTGGGCTAGGTATGGCGTGTGAAGCTGTGTATCAGTAAAGGGGTTAAGAGCAGTGGGCTAGGTCTGGCATGTGAAGCTATGTATCAGTGAAGGGGTTAAGAGCAGTGGGCTAGGTCTGGCGTGTGAAGCGGTGTAGCAGTGAAGGGGTTAAGAGCAGTGGGCTAGGTCTGGCGTGTGAAGCAGGGAAGGGGTTAAGAGTAGTGGGCTAGGTCTGGCGTGTGAAGCAGTGAAGGGGTTAAGAGTAGTGGGCTAGGTATGGCGTGTGAAGCAGTGAAGGGGTTAAGAGTAGTGGGCTAGGTCTGGCGTGTGAAGCAGTGAGGGGGTTAAGAGTAGTGGGCTAGGTCTGGCGTGTAAAGCTGTGTAGCAGTGAAGGGGTTAAGAGTAGTGGGCTAGGTCTGGCCTGTGAAGCTGTGTAGCAGTGAAGGGGTTAAGAGCAGTGGGCTAGGTCTGGCCTGTGAAGCTGTGTAGCAGTGAAAGGGGTTAAGAGAAGTGGGCTAGGTCTGGCCTGTGAAGCTGTGTAGCAGTGAAGGGGTTAAGAGTAGTGGGCTAGGTCTGGGGTATGAAGCTGTGTAGCAGTGAAGAGGTTAAGAGCAGTGGGCTAGGTCTGGCGTGTGAAGCTGTGTAGCAGTGAAGGGGTTAAGAGTCGTGGGCTAGGTCTGGCGTGTGAAGCTGTGTAGCAGTGAAGGGGTTAAGAGTCGTGGGCTAGGTCTGGGGTGTGAAGCTGTGTAGCAGTGAAGGGGTTAAGAGTAGTGGGCTGGGTGTGAAGCTGTGTAGCAGTGAAGGGGTTAAGAGCAGTAGGCTAGGTCTGGTGTGTGAAGCTGTGTAGCAGTGAAGGGGTTAAGAGCAGTGGGCTAGGTCTGGTGTGTGAAGCTGTGTAGCAGTGAAGGGGTTAAGAGCAGTGGGGAAGGTCTGGTGTATGAAGCTGTGTAGCAGTGAAGGGGTTAAGAGTAGTGGGGTAGGTCTGGTGTATGAAGCTGTGTAGCAGTGAAGGGGTTAAGAGTAGTGGGGAAGGTCTGGTGTATGAAGCTGTGTAGCAGTGAAGGGGTTAAGAGTAGTGGGGAAGGTCTGGTGTATGAAGCTGTGTAGCAGTGAAGGGGTTAAGAGTAGTGGGGTAGGTCTGGCGGGTGAAGCGGCTCTTGCAAGGCATTGCAAGTTGCAGACAGAGGAAGCAGCCCAGCAGATACAGACAAGTAATCACACTAAGCTGCTCGTTTCCCCCTGTAGTAAGGTGCATGGCTCCCTGAGGCTGATCATCTGTTTGCCCACAGCAGGGCTAAATGTCAAAGAACACAACTTGCCCGTCACCGGAACTGCATGTCCTGGGCATCGGGCGATATGATTTGCACATCCCTGAATATCTAATAAAAATGTTTTAGAATATCAATATTCTTTGGCAGATTTTGGCTAAAAAATATTCTGCTATATTTTTGAATAAAAAAAAACCCCAACAAGTGTATATTGATTGGTTTGCAAGGGCACAATGAAATCAATTGATCTCTATGTGCCCTATTCACACCACTAGTATCATGTACGGATTTTGTCTGTGCATGAATCCCCTCCCCTCCTGTGACTGACAGACTACCCAATTCTCTCATGCACAACAGAAGGGGCCCTATGTCCAGCATTCCAGTAATAGAGGACTCCCCCTACCTCCTCTGGCTCACCCACGATTGGCTGCTTCGCACTTTAGCATTATTGGTCACGCTGAAGTCAAGTGGTACCTTCTATGAGTTCCGATTGGTCGGTACTCATGAGCGGGCATGGCAAGCCGCCAGGGGTTCCTGCTGTCTGGCTGGAGGGAGTGCAGAGATGGGAGGAGAGTCCAGTGAGGTCATAATACAAGTGTATAATCCAAATGCACACGTTCCTGCATTAGAAATGGCTGTGTGTATAAGTGGGTGCTGCAGCGACCGTCGGCTGGAACCGAACAGAATCAGCAAGGGAGAATGTCACCAGCACACCGAGGATCACCAACATGTCTAAAAGTTTTAATGAACGATCACATAGTTACAGCAAGGCAACGTTTCAGAGTCTCGCAGGACCCCATCATCAGGCAAGTGACCATCGTGATCGTTCATTAAAACTTTTGGACCCATATTGGTGATCCTCGGTGTGCTGGTGACATTTTCCCTTCCAGTGAGGTCATCACTCCACCTCCTGAGCTCCAGTATGCAGACACGCGAACTGATCGGCAATATTCTGAGGGCTCAGACAGGCGCAAGGGATAAAAATGTTAAGGGATACGTACAGCGATTTGCTTTTGCAATGTGGGCACATTAATAGGGTGCCTTCCTTTTATGTTGCATGCACTGCAGGTTTACAACCACTTTAACCGCTTCCTGAACAGCCTTACAGCAGAAATACTGCTACAGGGCTGCACAAAATCACACACACATTATATATATATATATATATACACACACACACACATACACACACACGTGATTTTGCATTTCCAGGTAGGGGGCGCACACCCTACCCGTGCTGCCATTCACAGGGTCCCCCGCCAGTGATTACTCGCCGGCGCCCAGTGATTGCCAAGCATCTCCGACGGGGGGGGGGGGCGAACTGTTTGTAAACAAAACAGTTTTCCTCCCTGCAAGCTCGTGCACACTACTTTGGATGGCTGTGCATAGCACAGCCATACAAAGCAGTGTGTTTAGAGTGAAGCACACGGACACAGCACATAGTAAAACACCACACAGTTAACCCTTTGATCACCCTTCATGTTAACCTCTTCCTGTCCAGTGCTATTAGGACAGTGTCAATGCTTTTTATTAGCACTGATCACTGTATTGGTGTCACTGGGGATGTCAGGGACACCAAGTCAGTTCCCCCCAGTGTCAGAATGCTCGCTGCAGTCCCGCTATAAGTCGCTGATCACCGCCATTACTAGTAAATATTTTTTAAAAAGCCCAGTATCTATACCGCCATTTGTAAACGCTATAACTTTCACGTAACCCAATTAGTTTACATGTATTGGAATTTTTTCTAGTAAAGACATGTAGCAGAATACATTTTGCCCTAAATTTATGACAAAATTTGATTTTTTAAATTTTGTTACTGGACAAAAACAAAAATATATTTTCTTTTCTCAAAACGGTCTTTTTTTTATAGCGCAAAAAACCCACAGGCAATCAAATACCACTGGAAGAAAGCTCAATTCGTGGGGAAAAAAAAGGACGTAAATTTCATTCGAGTGCAGCGTTGCATGACCGCGCAATTGTCAGTTAAAGTAACAGAGCGTAACAAAAAATGGGCTGCTCTCGGGAAGGGGGGGTAAATCCTCTGGAGGGCAAGTGGTTGAACGTTTCCAATGGCTGATGCACACAAGTAGAAGGCCTCCTAGTGACAGTAATGAGATGCTGATGTCAGGATTGCTAGAACCAATGGCACACATTTGTCACGACTCACCGCCTGCTCTCTGGCCCGGCGCCTCTCCTCCTCCTCAGCCGGGGTCCTCTGCACTGCAGGCCGCTGATCCCTGTGCCGATTCCGCCGGTTTCTGCGCCCCATCCTCACGCTAACAGTTCGCACACAGAGCCCGGAGAGTGTGAATATCCTCCTATTGGAAGACACATAGCATGTACACGGTTAGGAGGATATGATCCGAGAAGCTGCACTCCTATTCCATCAGAACAACATACATGCATCGGAGTACTCACTCAGGAACACACGTGTACGCACACCAAACTCCTACCTGACCGCACAAGTGACGTAAAACCTACGGGTGCCGTGAGAAACCGTGCAAAGGAAGTTCGAGCTGCCAACCAATCACTGGGCAATTCTCGCTGAAGCGCCTACTGTCTCCTTCCACCATCTTTGAAAAGGGAACAAGTGGAAAAATCATATTTGGTACGTAGAGTATATGGAGGTAGAAACACGTGTGTATTATTGTGCATTTGTTAGCTGTTCGGAAGGCACACATTGGCATGAGAGGGAATGCCCAGCAGCGGTGACCGCCAGCTTCCGTCCAGAGCACACCACATTGGCCTCACTAACTTTCCGGGTGTGTGAGTGAACACTGTCACCGCCCATTATGTCTTCTGCGACTCTGATTAGCTGGACTTTGACATAGGTCCCCGCCCCCTCGTCGGTGAGTGGTGGTTGCTTAGCAGCGGCGGGTTTTATGGTATGGCTGCAGTGGGCCGACTGACTGACTAGGAGACCGGCGGTGACGGCGACATGGCTGAGCTTGTGGAAGACGAGGTCCGCCTGCTGGACCTCCTGTCCCTGCTTATGGTTCTCATGGGACTCCTCACATTCGCCTTACTGTTCTGTATCCGTGTGCCTTATGGGCGCTTTGCCAGCTCGGCGTTTGGGCCGCCGGTTCCTGTGAGGTTGGCTTGGTTCATCCAAGAGCTGCCGTCTTTGGTTGTGCCCTTGTATTATGTGTCAGTACATCCTGGCCTACCAACACCCGCCCTGCTTCTGATGGGACTCTTCATCTGTCACTACAGCCATCGGTATGGAGGCTTCTCTGACTGCTCTGATGATTGTGTACCATTTCATGTGCAGCTAACAACATGACTTTTTAGGTGTTTCAGGTTTCCATTTGTGCCAATAGGAGAGATTTCCCTTCACTTCCTGTCCCATAGTCAAAACAGGAAGTGAGAGGAAAACTCTCTCAAATGAGGGAATCCCTGGTTGTCAGCAGAATTAGTGGTCCCATTGGAGATTCGCCCTTTATTCTGGTTCCAGTGATAACCCAAAATTTGGGTTATCTTTCTCATTGATGAATGTAAACAGGACAGATAGGGGGGGGGGGGTCTCCCTAAGGCTAGGTTCACACCTGTGTGGTTTCAGAAGAGCAGGGGCACACAATTGATTTACCATGGTTTCCTAGGAGTCCTGTTCCCACCTATGTAGTTTCCTGCAGTGCAATTTTGGAAGAGGTGTAGGGACTCTCTTCATGCATGAAGGGGTGGGGTTTTTTGACCCATTGATTTTATCCACTTCCCTACCGCCATACGTACAAATACGTCCTAGTAGGGAAGTGGTTATACTGGGATCACGGTTGAGACTATAACTGCGCAAAATCGTATGTGTATGTATGTATATAGACACACATGCGTGCGTAATTTGGCATTTCTGGGTAGGGGACGCAACGCTATTGGCTGTTACAGCTGTCGATCACCGGGACCCGGCCTGAGATTGCCAGCTGAAACCCATCGGTCGCTGAGGAAAACCGTCAGGGGAGAGGTCTGTATGTAAACAACACAGATCTCTCCCCTGTCAGCGCAAACAGGCTGCTTTGTATTGCTCTGCACAGCAGAGCAATTCAAAGCAGCTTGTCTCCCTAGTAGAAAACGCACACCGCACATAATGTAAAACACAGCACACAGTTAACCCTTTGATTGGCCCAGATGTTACCCCTTCCTGCCCAGTGTCATTAGTACAGAGTCAGTGCTTTTTAATAGAACTGATCACTGTATTCGTTTCACTGGGGATGCCAGTGGCAGTTAGTTCCCCCCCAGTGTCAGCCTGCTGCAGTCCCGCTATAAATCGCTGATCGCCACCATTACTAGTATAAAAAAAAAAAAAAATTCAGTATATATACCACCATTTGTATAACTTTCACATAAACCAATTAACTTACACGTATGGGGATTTTTTTTTTTTGCATAGACTTAGCAGAATACATTTTGGCCTAAATTTATGAAGAAATTTGATTTTTAATTTTTTTTTTTTTTTTTTGTTACTGGATATGTTTTATATTAAAAAGATATTTTTTTTTCTCAAAATTGTCACTTTTTTTGTTTATAGCACAAAAAATAGAAAACACAAAGGCGATCTAATACCACCAAAAGAAAGTGGTAAAAAGGACATAAATTTAATTTGGGTGCAGCGTTGTATGACCGCGCACTTGTCAGTTAAAGTAAAGAAGCGTCATGTCGCAAAAAATGGCCTGGTCAGGAAAAGGTGTGAATCCTCTGGAGGGCAAGTGGATAACCATGATCCTGATATAGTTTTTTAGTGCCAGCAATTGTCTTTCACGTAAAAGTAATACAAGCAGCTAAGCAAAGCAGCTGCTGGACTACTTTTATGGGTGACGAAGGGGGTCCCTTCTGCTGCTGCCACCTTTACTGGACTCTCTCGAGTGATTGGGGAGCCTGGTAAGGATGCAACCTGCGGCATCTGGAGCTCGGCACATGGTGAGAGGAGCTGAAAGTGGTTGTGAAGGCTGAGAAGAGGAGAATCACTTTAAGTTGTCCCTCCCACGTGTGACATCAGAAACTAGAAGTGACGACTTTGCCACATCCATTTCCTGCTCTTTGTTTACAGGCCAGCTACATTGGAGCCCAAAGGAGAGACTTGGGTGGTGGGGGGGGGTCTAGTAGACTCCCAATCTCTCCATAAAGAGTACCTGTCACTGCCTATTGCTGTTACAGGAGCTGTTTGCATTCCTTTTGACCATAACAAAAGTGATCTAAAAACTTTTTTTTAAAAAAAGTGTAACAAATAATAAAATTAAAACAATCTATAAAGTGTGAAAATTATATAAGAAATATTTTTCAACTAGTGTTTATACAATCCACCCCATAAATCCGCACATTATTTGCTACAAGTGTTCGTAATATATACAAAAAGTCCAAAAAAAAATAAAAGTCCAAAAAATAATAAAAATAAAAATGAAAGTCCTTCCAATCTTTCCAATCCTTTCTCACGATGATACAACCTCAAAGAAAGGAAATATCACATAGTGTATTATCTTTTTGATATATCAAAATATTCGTGACAACACTCTAGTGAATATCCAAATAGGAATATAATTTTTCCTTTTGGTAATTAGTGTAAAAAAGTGAATCAAGTGAACAAACGTGAATTCAAAATAGTACAAAACACTGTGTATTGTGAATCACTTTTCAGTGCTCCAAAACAAATCCACATCGTGACACTTCTATTGTAGTAAGGAATGCATACCCTTACCAACACTCCTCAATAAACTTGCTTTCAGTATTATATAGTGTCAGATGGATGGTGACCCTCCTGTAGTGCTCTCCCAGATTACACTGTATTCAAAGCACTATTTGGGCAGGGTGCTCCATGTCTCCATATAGTAGGCACCATATAAATAAAAACATATGAGGGACAAGAATAGTATAATACCGCCAGAGTAATATCAGCAAAGACACTTTATTTTAACTGCTCACATTGTTTGAAATTCAAAAAACGCTTTTAAATACTGTCATAATGCCACGCTACCATCCAGGAAACATCTAGGGACCAACACACAGTCTTTTTCCCTTTTCCAAAATGGCCGCCGGTCAACTTTCGGTTCCTGTATGCATCTTGACGTCACAGCCCTTGACGCGTTTCGTCATCGACTTAATCATGTCGATTAAGTCGATGACGAAACGCGTCAAGGGCTGTGACGGAAGTTGACCGGTGGCCATTTTGGAAAAGGGAAAAAGACTGTGTGTTGGTCCCTAGATGTTTCCTGGATGGTAGCCTGGCATTATGACGGTATTTAAAAGCGGTTTTTGAATTTCAAACAATGTGAGCAGTTAGAATAAAGTGTCTTTGCTGAATATTACTCTGGCGGTATTATACTATTCTTGTCCCTCATATGTTTTTATTTTTATATGGTGCCTACTATATGGAGACATGGAGCATCCTGCCCAAATAGTGCTTTGAATACAGTGTAATCTGGGAGAGCACTACAGGAGGGTCACCATCCATCTGACATTATATAATACTGAAAGCAAGTTTATTGAGGAGTGTTGGTAAGGGTATGCATTCCTTACTACAATAGAAGTGTCACGATGTGGATTTGTTTTGGAGCACTGAAAAGTGATTCACAATACACAGTGTTTTGCACTATTTTGAATTCACGTTTGTTCACTTGATTCACTTTTTTACACTAATTACCAAAAGGAAAAATTATATTCCTATTTGGATATTCACTAGAGTGTTGTCACGAATATGTTTGATATATCAAAAAGATAATACACTATGTGATATTTCCTTTCTTTGAGGTTGTATCGTCGTGAGAAAGGATTGGAAAGATTGGAAGGACTTTCATTTTTATTTATTTTTTTTATTATTTGGACTTTTATTTTTTATATTTTTTTTTGGACTTTTTGTATATATTACGAACACTTGTAGCAAATAATGTACGGATTTATGGGGTGGATTGTATAAACACTAGTTAAAAAATATTTCTTATATAATTTTGGCACATTTTTATATCACTGTTGCACATCTTCAAGGGTGAAGGTGCTATGGAGATTTAAGATTTTGCTTTAGTTTATTTTGAATTTATCTGTTTGATTTGAAATTATCTAAGGAAGTGGTATTTATAGATAAATCTATAAAGTGCCCCGTCCTCACACGGAAAGGGGAACTCATGCGTTGGTCCCCCAAGTATATGTAAACAATAACCACACCAGACATGCGAGTTATCACAGCGAACGACAGAGCGGGAGCAATAATTCTAGCACCAGACCTCCTGTGTAACTCTTAACTGGTAACCTGTATTTAAAGTGTCAGGTATGGATAATTTAAAATACTGTAGTTTGTCGCCATTCCATGAGCATTCCTAATTTTAAAGTGCGACATGTTTGGTATCTATTTATTCAGTGTAAAATCATATTTTATATTTTACCCAAAAAATGTTATTTATTTTGTGTGTTTATGCATTAAAATTCATGTAAGTGCATTTTTTCCAAAAAATTTATATTTGAAAAACTACTGCGCAAATACTATGTTACATAAAAAAAAAAAAATTGCAACACCCACCAATTATATTCTCTAAGGCCTCTGCTAAGAATATATAATGTTTGGGGGTTTGAAGTAATTTTCTAGAAAAACAATGATACATTTTACATGTAGGAGAGAAGTGTCAGAATTTGCCTGGTAAACAAATGGTTAATAGAAGTTCATCACACATTCTCAAAAAATACACTTGCGTGTTTTTGGTAGGGTTTTGTGATGAACAAGCAGCCTTCTCCTCCCGAAAAAAAAAAAGAGGCATGAAAAGCACACATGCACGTGAGAGCCTAGCATTATGGGAGCTAGGACTGGTGTTCTAATCCCTCTCCACTCTATCCAAACATTGAAAAATAAATTTCACCCTTAACCACTTGCCTACCAGGCACTTATACCCCCTTTTTACCAGGCCAATTTTCAGCTTTCAGCGCTGCCGCACTTTGACAATTGCGCGGTCATGCAACATTGTACCCATTTGAAATTTTGATAATTTTTTTCTCACAAATAGAGCTTTCTTTTGGTGGTATTTAATCGCCACTGGGCGCTTTACTTTTTGCGCTATAAATAAAAAAAGTGCAAAAAATTTGAAAAAAAAAGTTTCTTTGTTTCTATTATAAAATTTTTCAAACAGGTATTTTTTCTCCTTCACTGATGTGCGTTTATGAGGCAGCACTGATGGGCACTGATAGGCAGCACTAAAGGGTACTGGTAGGCAGTACTAATAAGGTGGCACGGATAGGCGGCACTGATAGAC